ATTTGGGGTGATTCACCTTCTATGAGGGAATCAAAGAGAGGTGAGTGTTCGAGTATGATGAGGCCGTTTTGGGCTCTTGGAATCCCAAAGAAAACATGTCAGATCCATATGTCGTATGATTTCACGGCCTCTAAAACAATAGTTGGCTTTCTCGATCTTCCACTGAAGCTTCCCTACTATCCGGTTGGACAATTCTTCCAATCCCAATGCATACAGTCTAGTGATCCTATCATGTCTGGAAAGCCTCGATCTTTCGCTTTACATAGGAGCCGTTCTATGTCCTCCAAATTTGGTGCTCGGAGGTACATATCTTTGTAGATGTGTACAGTTATACGACATAATTCAGCAAGGTTCTCAAGGGAGGAAGACTCAGACATACAATATGTGTCATCCATCGCATCATTCGAGGATGCGTAGGCCATCATATGGAGTGCAACAATTAGTCTTTGGTGGGGTGAGAAACTGAGATGATCTGCATTACTCACTCTCTGACGGTAGAAAGGGTTGGCTATTTGGATGTCATGTAGCACACCCTCGAAAACATTGCTCCTTATCCGAAATCAGTGTCTGAAATCCTATGCTGTGTACACCTGATTAGGGTTGAAGTAATTCTTCATCAATGTTTGGTATGTAGTCTCCTATTGTTGGGGTTTGTTAGGGACCAACAATATAGCCACCCCACTTAGTTTGTTTGGATGTTTCCTCACACACCAAGGCTATCGCAATTGCCGCCATAAGGTCATTGTTACGCCTCCAGGCATCATCTTCTTCATCCTCCTCCATTTGTTGGCGTCTCCGCTCGTCCCATTGGTTTTCCAATTCGAAATTAAAAGAGGAACTCCGGTTGGAATCCATCACAAAATTGAATTGGAATGACAAATTATACAAAATGAAAGAGAGAAATTAGAGAGGAATCAGACGAAGGTGTGAGATATGAAACCCTAAACATCCCTTTTATTAACATTTGAATATGAAGATAAGATATGCCACGAGGACAAAAATCAAATCCAAAATATATAGGGCTAATCACGTACCAACACATGGCACTCGAAAATCATATCTGAATTTTTTTGGGATTACATCAGGATAAGATGTGCCTTGTGGAAAAAAAAGAAAAAAAGAAAAAAAAAGGGGGCTAATCATATGCTGACACATGGATGTCAAAAATCATATGCAAAAATATTTTTATCTTCTAAAATAAAATTTATCCAATATATTAAATAATACATTAAAGACTAATAAAATATTGAAGAGACTATGATTTAGCCCTGCACTGTTGGAGACAGTAAAAATATTGCCCATCACTATTCCTTAAAAAGCTATAAATAGTGGGCTAATTTTTAGAGAGGGTTATATCATCACTTTTGGCCCTTTCACAACCAAAACCCATCTCAACAAATGGGCTGTATGTGCCATGTCACTAGGCCAAATCCAATCAGCATGCCAAAAGAGTTATATGCTGGCCAAATGTAGGATGGTTCTTAGGTGGGTTGTATCTTATTTTATTAATTTTTTATTTTCAAAAGCAAGCAAACCTTTTGGATTTTTCAAAATCCAGCAACGACTCTTTGGACAAAACATGCAACACCAATGCTTCTCTCTGGCTGCTGATGCCAAATAGCTATATATATATATATATATATATATATTCAAACAATCCTAAAGATGGTTTTTTTTCTTTTCAAAAAATTCAAAAAAAACTCCTAATTTTTTCCCCTATAAATACCAACCTACATAATTTCCCACAATTTTTCCATCCGTCCTACAATTTTCGGGAGATGACGATTATCTTTTTTAATTAGTTAGTTGTTGCTTTTAAATTATCCAATATATTTAAAGAATATACTAAAAACTAATAAAATATTGAGGAGACTATGATTTAGCCATGCACTGCTTGAGACAGTAAAAATATAGCCCATCACTATTCCTTACAAAACTATAAATAGTAGGCTAAATTTTATGGGTGGCTATATTTTTCCCTCCATTATTGGAGATGGCCTAATAGTCGTCTGATCCCGTACAGAGTTGTTCTTGGACTGTTTGATTGAACCCCTCCCTAAATCCTTTCCAAAAGTGGTCTCTGAATCTCGTTTGACTTGGAGTGGAATTCAAGCAAGTGTTATTCCGATTCAGTTAGAGACCATATACAAAGGTACGCCATACATTGTACCTTAGCATACTGCTTCGTGTTCTCTAATTGTAAGGTTACTGAATTCTGGAGGATCTTTAGCCAACACCACACTAGTGCCCCATTATTCTCTTGAGCTCTTCTATGCTTTTCAGGTCAATCCAGAAAATTTATAACCCTTGCAAAACTATGTTCTTACAACTTCCTACAAGGTGTTAATAGAAAATTGCATGAATTCCTATCACTTAACACCCAACAAGATGTTCAAAGTCAAATTTCCAAGATAGAAGTAAATGATACCTAACTCAAACAAGATGTGCATATGTTGTTCTAGCTAAACAAAACAAATGGGCAATTATCATTAATCCTCTTTATTTATTTATAATCACCTTTTATTAAGGGATCCCTTAAATAATTTTATTTGAGGAATACCTTTTAAGGTCCCCTATGCAATTTTTTTCAATGATCCAAACCGTCTATTCTTCAAGTCTTCATTCATAGATCATCTTTGTAAAAACTTAGAGAAATTGTAACTTTTATTAAGGAATTTGGTTGGCAATAACAAAATAGACGAACATGGTACTTCAAGAAAATATTATAATAATAACCATCTAATTGAGTGGTCAAATGGTTTTGGATTTAAGTGATTTTTTGCTGAGATGATCTTTGAGGGAATATCTAAAAAGTAGACGGTTTTGATCATACAATGTGTGGTGGACCCTACGAGGATGTTCCTCAAATAAGTTATTAGAGGGATTCCTCAAATTTGAGGGATCCCACTCTCTCTCTCTCTCTCTCTCTCTCTCTCTCTCTTTCTCTACATAAATTTTTCTTTTTGGAAAAAAGTAGAAGGCTCCATGGATGGAGGTATTTGAAAGAAAGGATTTGGATTTGATAACAAAGCTAATTACTAAAAAGAAAGTAGAAAACATGATATTCAATGTATTTAAAATAACTGGATGTAATATATTTGGAATGTTTGAAATGACTGAAAGGAGTCATTTGAAATCCATTTTTTTTTTCTTTTTTGGTTCATATTCAAATCTTGACTTACATAAATTACACTAGTATAATCTTACAATGGCCTCTAAATCCTTAAATTTGGAATCCTTCCATCCAAATAGACCCTAATACGTACTCCATGGCAAGATATTAAATTATTAAAGATATGTCATTGGTAAAATACTCTATTCTCTCACATCGACTACAAGGCTTTAAGGTAATAAAATTATTACTACTGGTAATTAGAATAACTATACCATATGGAGGACATGCTGCAGTAGTAGCAGTTTGATTTGAAAAAACTTTAGTAGAAGGTTTGAATGACTTTACTTCTAGTTGTTTTCAAAGAGAAACGGCCACGAAAAAGGGGCCAAAAAAAAAAAAAAAAAAAAAAAAAAAAAAACTGAAGAAAATGTGTCGGTCCTCAAAATCCAAAAGTACTGATGGCTATATGGAATTATGATATATATATGCAATTAGAGTTGAAGTCAACAACATAATGGAGGAGGATAACATGAAGACTGAAGCATGGACGCATGCATGCAATAATGGAAATGGTTTATATTATTGGGAGGCCCTGGACAAACATAGGTTAAGTTACCTAAAAAAGGCATGAGAAATGAGCAGCAACAGCAACAAGCGACAAATGATCAACTGCTTATAATTGACATACAGTATGAAATATCTTTCCTGAAAGTACAAAAACTGCTATCATATTTTTATTAATTACATTGCTGATAAAGGCGTGTAACATGCAAGAATAACTCATAAAGATGAGATAGTATATAAAAAATGGATAAATGATATACATAATTTCTAACACAAATAAAGAATAAGTCGAGTTTTTTTTTTTTTTCGAAGTTATAGGATTTTGTTTTCCTTCTAGCCAAAATTTCCAAGAACATCAAGATTAAGTGAATTTTTATTTTATATAAGGAGAGTGTATGAGAGATGACTTTATTGGTTTCTTACTTAGTTAGTCTACTTTCTAGTTCAAAATGTATGTTGCTCATGCTAAGTAAGACGTCACGGTTAATAAACGAGTTGGATTTTTTTTTTTTTTGTTTCTTTTGAAATTTAGGATGAGGGAAGGAAGAAACTTACACACACAAGTACCACGAGAGTTCGAACCCATACCAATTAGAAGCACGCTAAAAACCTGAGTCAATCCAACTAAAACTCCGTTAGTGTCAAGTTATCGATGAGATTAATTATGTTAATAATAGCATCCATATAGCATAAGAATAAACAAATCATTTGTACATCTTTTACATGGAGGTGACATCGGTTGATATCATCAATTTCAGGTAAGTCGTCACCTTCTTACCGAACCCTAACATTACTTCTGGCATCATGATATATCTAGACTCATACTTTTCTACCGTAAAGATTTACTAAAGATTTACTAAAGATTTACTTCAAGTGTTGGGAAATGAATAATGGGAAGACAAAGTCGATAAATCGATTTATTTCTAGAGGCTAGACCAAGCCAGAAAAGCCTAGACAATGAAATCTTGACCTTTTCTTCTCTGCGGGCCATGCAGATTGTAGAAGCACCTAACCACCCACCACCAGTCATGCACCACCGCCTCAAGATTAGACTTGACTTCTTTTTGCTCCAGTATAAGGTCAGACTAAACTTGGTCAAAGGTCGCTTTGCACTAAGGAAATGGAATTTATACACATGGGGGACCTCCATTTTTTTTTCACAAATTTACTGCTTTTATTTAGTCCAATTCTTCCTCCCCCTATAAGTAGAACTCCACCTCTGAAATTATTCATCAAATTATTGCCTTCCAGTCCTCCCTTTGCTCCCCACCCACTCCTTTTCTTCTCTCTCCCCCCAAAACTAGACGGTCCAAAATAATTTCCTTGAGGTTCTTGCCATTTAGTTTTCTTTGCTTTGTATTTATATATAAACAAACTCTCTCTTTGATCTTAGTCAGTACTATAATATATGTTACTTGAAATGGGTTCAATCCTTGAAAGCTCCACCATAGAAAATGAAGAAATAGAAAACCAATACCTTCAGAAAGGAGTGAGACACTTGTGTGAAAGAGGGCTGACCAGAGTTCCAAGCAAGTACATATTGCCCATCAACGAACGACCCAACTTGGGAGACACAAGGGTTAATGCTGGCAACCTTAACCTCAAGCTGCCAGTTATTGATTTCACTCAGTTTCAAAGCTCAGATAGATGCCAAGCAATACATTCCCTCGAAAAGGCTTGCCGAGAATTCGGATTTTTTCAGGTTGATCTTCATTTAACTTCATACATGCATTCTCCTTGTTCTTGTTATACATCATCATCTATTTCATGTTGTTGTGTGTATTTGTTCATGACATTGAATTTTGTTAAAACAAGCCCTAAACTTTATATGGATCCATGCATATTAGTTATAACAAAAGTAAGGAGATTGAAAATAAAATCCTGATCAGTTAAGTTTTGATTGGTGTGCAGTTGGTAAACCATGGTATCAAAGATGATGTTATTCTTCGAATGGTGGATGTAAGTAGAAGATTTTTCGAGCTCGCTTTCGACGAGAGAGCAAAGTACATGTCAAAGGACATGGCTTCCCCCGCTAGGTATGGAACAAGCTTTAACCAGAGCAATGACAAAGTGTTCTGCTGGAGAGACTTTCTGAAACTTAGCTGCCAACCTTTAGAAGACACTGTGCCTTATTGGCCTTCCTCTCCTAAGGACTTAAGGTGACTCTCTCTCTCTCTCTCTCTCTTTCTTCTTCTTTTTCTTCTCTCTTCCCTCTTTTCT